CCTCCCCCCCCCCTTACAGCTCTGCTCTGTTCAGCCTCAACAGCGTCTTTGTTTGGGGGCCCATGATCACTCTGGGTGTCGATCTGAGCAGCTTAGCAGCCCTGGAGGAAAGAGAGCACTTCTGAGACTTGTGAAAGTCTGAGGCCCACGTGCCTTTGCTCTGATTGGCCCAGCCTGGGTCACAGCCTCCCCCTGCCACCCCAAACCCATCACAAGTGCAGGGCTTTGTGGGCTCCCCGTGTCCAGATGCAGGTGTGCACTCACAGCCTCTCCCCAAACCAGGGGCTGGCTGATGCCCCAACCAGACCACATGGAAGAGAATAGGGGAGGGAGACACCCTGAAAGGAAACTCAAAAGGTGCTTCCAGAAGACAGGGTATGGCTGCTGGGCAGGCAGAAGTAATGCATCAGCACACCAGCATCCTTTCAGCCTGAAACAGCCCATGACGTGAAGGGGTCTTGGCCTCATCCATCAGGAGCAGCCTTATAAATAGTTCTGAGAACCTGACAAGAATCTCCCTCATTTATTTCAATTCAGTGAACTCACTTATTCAGGCACAGTTGATTGAGCCCCTACTCTGCCCCTGGTTCTCTGCTGGACACCACAGATCTTTTGGTAAAGAAGACAGTTTATACTCTGAAGGCCTGCAGCCTAGCAGAGAAAAGATTATGTTAAATACGTACAAGAGCGACCCAGCGAAGAAGCGGGTGGAGTTGGGACTGTGCTGGGGAGGCCTTCCCTGTGGGACCAGGCGTGGGGACTGGGCGACAGTGCCCTGAGGAGGCACCCTCTAGGCTGCGTCCTGAGAGTTGAAGGTGGAGTGGTCAGGAAAGGTATGTCTGGGGCACTGGGGACAGGAAACAAGGTCTCTGCGGCACCGGCAGCCAGACCGCATCAGGCAAAGGCCCAGGGTCTGAGCGCCTCGGCGCTGTCATTAGAAACGCCATCACTATTCTGCCTCTCAAACGCTTCTCTTCCTTTTTCAGGACTGTGCCTCAGAGGATGTGGAGCCACTTTTGGAAAGTATCAACACAGGGGCTTTTTGTGGCCATGTTCTGGCCCCTCATCCCTCAATTTGTTTGCAACTGTCTGTTTTACTGGGCCCTGTACTTTAACCCAATTATTAACATTGATCTCGTGGTTAAGGAGGTCCGACAGCTGGAAACCCAGGTGTTGTGACTGACGCTGCCCAGGCTCTGAGGGACTCTTCCAGCCTCCCTGCCAGCCAAGCTCTGACGCTTAAGTGCGGCGAGGGGGATGGGGAGCGGACACCCTTTTTTCTGCCCCTAGTAAACAAGGTGCTGCTTTGTCTGTCAAAGGCTACAGCCAGGTCTTCTCCCTCTGCCTGTGGCAGCAGGGACTGGCGCCCCAGCACTTGGCTGACAAAGCTGCTGTGCCTCCCACCCAGCCACCTTCCTCGTGGGGTCTTGGGAGGCCCAGTCCACGACACCTGGCAGGGACCCAGGGTTCTCAGAGGACATGGAGTGGGTCTCAGTCCCGCTTGCGCTAATAACCTCAGTGACTGACACAAGGCTCCCAGGGCAAGTTGGAGCCCTGAGACTGAGCCCAGGGCCAGGCCTGTCCTCTAAGTTAAGTTTAGGAGAACAGGAGATTTTGTCATAGGCATGGCAGTTGCATATAAAAAACACAGAGGAAAAGCCAAAATCCGGTTGACGACTCTGTCTTATTTAAGAGTTGCTAGAAGGTTTCAGAGTTAAACTTCTGAAAGGATTCAGTTCAAGTTTAGAATGATGGTGGTTAGACTTGCCATCACTGTTTTCTACTTGTAATCATTGAAAGTCTGGATCTCTTTTTCTGGGAGAATTGAGTGGGATGTCAGGCAGTTAACGGAGAGTAATTCACATCAGGCCGAGCTGCTTTAGTGCTACTTAAAATTGTTGTTTTGGGGTTTACTTTGTTTTGTTTTTAAGAATTTAATTTGTAAAATCCAGGCTAGTCCGTTTGTTTAAGGAAACATTTTGTACATTGACCTCCCACCATACACTCTGTTCTGATGTATAAAACAACAAGTATATTTACACCAAGTGCTGTAATTGTAAATATGAAATGAACTGTGGCCTTTGATTCCCTTCCATTGTGACAGTAGCAGGTGTGAAAGGCAGTCCACCTGAAGACTGGCCCTGCAGAGATAAGCTTGCATCCAAAATGTTTTTCTGTGACTCCATGAACCATTCGTTAACCCTTTGTATCTTTGAAGATTTCACTCAAACTTTGCTTCTGAAAGTTTGAAGAAGTTACTTAAAATAAAAATAAAGATTCTTTTATACAGGTAAAACTTCTATGTAGAGAAAAATAAACTGTTCAGGAAGCATGAAGAAAATCTGCATTGCTCAGTACGACCTACTGGTCACACTTAAGTCCCCCAGCCTGACGTGGACATTGAGCCGAGGAGGAGCCACGGAAGGTTTCTTAAGTGAAAGGAAGGAGAATGTTTTCCTTCCTCCTATGTCTGCTCATCAGGCCCTGAGGCTGCCTGACTTTACCTGTTCAACCCTCATGACCTGCCGGAGACACTGACAGCCCAGCCGATCCGCAGTACCTGCACGTCGCTGGCCTCATGCCTCGCAGGGTCACTCTTCTTTCCAGATGAAGAGATGGAGGCTGGGTGGCACTGGTGGAGCTGGGCCCAGGCCAGACTCCCAGTCCGGCACTCCCCACCTGCCCCCCCGGCCTCCCCCCACACCATCCCCACCCACTCCCCAAATCATGCTTCAAAGATGAGTAATACCCACATGTGCTCTGTCTGGGGGGAGATTGCAAAGCAGTCTTGGCAGAGAGCAAACAGGCTGGGCTGGGCTCTCCCTCCTTATCGCCTGCAAGAGGGACAGACATATCAGAGCCAGGGCCACCGGCTGCCTCTCTGCCCTCAGACCCTCTTGGCTTGGTGTGTCAAAATGGGGAGTCTACTTAAAATATTCAGACCCTTTAATGCAGGAATTCCATTTCTGCAAATCTCAGTTAAGGAATAATAAAAGGGTGGGAGGGGGGCAAAGATTTATTCACAAGCATCCTCACCACATCAGTAATTGATAAAAATAGGAAATATCACCAATGTCCAAAAGGTAGCAGTCTATAAAATAGTATCTAATACAGCTGGAAATGTATCAATACATTTGGAAATGAAGTTTCCAGAGATTTTTTTTAAAGACATGGAGGAATGGAAAAAAGCTTATGAAAATCACAGCATAGAGTCTCAATTACATTTTTAACACATTATAGACAAGACCGATGGGCAGCACACTAAGATACTAAAAGTGGTTATTGTGGACTGAGAACTGGAGTGGGATGTTTTCTCCTTTATATATTTCTCAGTTGTACTTTTTTTTTTTTTTTTAGCAGTGCATAGGTACTACTTTTGTAATCAGGAAATAAATTTTAACTGTTAAAGGTGGAGTGGGATAGGGCAGAAGACTCGCGCTAACAACTACTAGACTTGAACTTCACAAGGTTGGGCATCATGTGGCCATTTTGTTTATTGCTTCAGCCCAGAATCGAAAGCAAGGCCAAGCGCATGGTAGGTGTTTGCTCACTTTTGACTGCCTGCCATCGGGAGCAGGTTAGAAGACAAGGCTCAGCTCTTTTCATAAAGTTTGAACCTCAAATGGTACCAAACCTAATAAATACAGTTGTGGTTTTATAAAATAGGCATGGGACTTTTGACATTAAGCTGGAAACCAAACTGGCTCCAGCCCCAAGTTCGGGACAGGAGTGAAAGCAAACACGAGGGTTTCAGCTTTAACAATTGGCCCCAGCTTCCTCCTGCAAAGAACTGAATAAGGCTGTTGATCCGCAAAAAGAAGTTTTATTTCCTTGTGCAAAAAAGACATTTCAAGTCACGCTAGTCAGTCACACTTGGGTGAATCCTTCCCACACAAGAAACGGGGGTAAAGGAGGTACTTTAAGTTGTACTGAGTTTTGGCTAAACAGTAAGCAATCTCCCGGTCACATTTGCACATGAGTTCTTGGCATTTGTCCTCCACTGGTCCTGGAAGAAGTGGGAAAACTGAGGTTAGAGCAGGGACTTGGAGAGACTTGAAGATAAATGCAAGGGAAGCCAGTAAAGCTGGGGACAAGGAAGGGCATAAATTGCATCTGGGTGACACTTTGACAGTTCGCCACATTATCTCTCTCTCGTTATAACTCCCGAGGGAGGTGATGTTCAGCCCCTTTTACAGAAAAGGAAATTGAAGTTGCCAGGGGAGTGTTTTCAGAGAGGAAATCCAAAGTCCATACGCCCTTTTAGCTTCTCTTCTGCATCAGTATTACACTAGTGCATTTAAGGATCCATTTAGATAAGCAGTTAGGTGCCTGGGAACCATCCAGGCTTTTTTTTTCGGAATGCCTTCTCTGCTAGTTCCTAGCTGTGTGGTCTTACCTAAACTTTCTGAGCCAAATCCTCATGTAGATGGGGGCACCATCCGCTTTGCAGGTTTATTGGGAAGCATGGGTGAGAAAGCCTATGTAAAGTGCCCGGCAGGGGCTTGGCCCTACGTGTGTAACTCCATCAATGTTGGTTCTACCTGCATTTCTCGGCCTTTTCTCTCCAGGTCTCTTTCAGATGCTCCTTCAAGAGAACAGTTTGTTCCCATAGCCAACATAATACTCAGTGGTGAAAAGCTAAAAGACTTCCCTCTGAAATCTGGAACATGACAAGGATGCCCACTCTTGCCACTTCTATTCAACATAGTATTGGAAGTCCTAGCCACAGCAATCAGACAAGAAAAAGAAATAAAAGGTATCCAAATTGGAAAAGAAGAAGTAAAATATCATTATATGCACATGACATGATACTGAATAAGAAAATAGTTTGTTTTAGGTAACAATCATATATTCCATCTCTTCCTTCCATCCTGGGCCTACCTTATACAGAGGTGCAAAGGTTGCCACCCAAAGATAAATCTCCTTCTGCCTTGGGAATTCCACTGCTAGAGAGTCATTCCTTTAGGTTGGAAAGATTTTGTGATCTTCAAGTTGTATCTTATTAATTTAGAAGGTATAACAGCTAATGGATACGTCATCTGCCTTTGACTATGGGCTTTTAATTATCCACAAAATGGGGGGGAAAAAAGCACCCACTATTAAATCTTGCCAAATTTCTTCCAGAGGCACAGTGAAGCATGAACTTTGGAGGTAGCCAGCTAGGCCATGGATATAGTTCCTTTAGGCACATCACTTCATCCTTCCCAGGCTGTTTCCACAGGGGCCACATGAGGATACTAAAAGTACCTACTTCTAAGGGCTGTTGGGAGAATGAAAAGAGACCAAGTCAGTAAAATGCAGGGCATACAGCAGGTGCTTAGGAGCCGCAGCTGACCTCCTTAAGCTGTCAGCTAATCTTTAAAGATCCCCTCTTAAAATGCACAAGTTCCATGGAGATCCTAGCAAGGTGAAGCATGAGACTCAGAAAATTCATCAGCTTCTCTCAGGGCAACACTCGGAGAGCTTGGCAGCACCAGGAGGGGATGGAGCGATGAGTGGGGGAGGGGTGGGGGATGTCAAGCAGGAGGCAGGGGGCCCGGGACCCTCTGTAATGAGCTGAGTTGATTAAAGGTGTTTATCTGCATGACTGCACACAGGGTTTCCCAAACTCAGATCCATGGCACCTTCAAGATGCTAGCTTTAAATCCCCTTTATTTCTAATAGTAAGTCAATTATTAAATAAATTATGATTTAATTATATTAAATGGTATTAAATTGCATCAAATAAATTCTATCACTGACATAAATGGAAAACCAAAATCTTATACCACAAATATAAGAAACTGACTAAAAAACAAAGAAAGCAAAAACAACAACAAAAACCAATGAAGATAAAGTCCTAATATCAAAGTCTAGTTAAATGCTGTTGCCCACCTGAAAGCTGTGAGCCCCCAAATTGGAGTGTCTTGGTTTAAAAAAAAAAGGGAGATTAGTAAGTGTAAGAGAGGTTTACCCTCTCTAGCAGTCAGACTATCGTGCAATTGATACATCCTCCTTGCCTAACTGGAAAAATTAACAAAGGACTGAGAGGGAAAATCTTTCTCCCTTAAATTCATTTATTAAGCTCCACAGGGACTTACTTCCCTGGTGGTCCAGTAAGTAAGACACTACGCTCCCAATGCAGGGGGCCCGGGTTTGATCCCTGGTCAGGGAACTAAGATCACAAGCCACGCGGTGCGGCGCGGCCCAGAAAAGAAAAACTGCCTTGGTTATAATTCAGTAAATGGATAACAACAGAAAAAGTCAGGATGATGGGAGCTGGCGTTAACTGTGCAGTTATGCGGAGCCAGGCACTGGGCAAAGGGCTGGCTCTATGGTCCCCATCTCACCCAGTCCTCTCAGGGCAGTGCCATTGGCACCCCAACCTTACAGAGGAAAAATCCAGGAAGGGGTGTGGGGACTGGGCCCCAACTCAGCTCTGCCCGACCCCAGGCCTCCTGGCTTGTCTGCAGGAAGGGACTAGGGTGTCAACTCGGGGCACTCGCCCACCCTTACAAATTCAAGTTTGTAACAGAGGATTGTTTAATAGAGGTTTTTTTTTTTTTTTTTTTTTATTGGAGTATAGTTGATTTAGTTAGTTTAGTTAGTTGATCTTGTTAGTTTCAGGCATACAGCAAGTGACTCAGTTACACATATATCTATTCTTTTAATAGAGTTTTAATGACATGGAAAAGAGCTTATACTTAAGAGGAAAATAAGGGGTACAAAACACACTGCTATGTTTTTTATGTATTATGCACTCAAAAAAGACAAAACAACACCACCATCACCAGAAGGTTAATCAAATGGATGTCTGGGTAGTGCCAATGGGAGTTTTATTTCCCACCAAACTTTTACATTTTGTAATCTGAAACTCTTCTACTTTGAGCCATACGGTGCTTTCATCGTGGAAAAAGCAATCTCAATTAACCAAATTTGAAGGGCAGCTATTTCAAAGTTTAGTTTACATTATTTGTTAGGCTTAAAATACCTATACCACTCAGTGCCGAAAGGAGGTGGCTTGTGGGGACTTTGGTGGCCTTCCTCCTCCCTAATCTCTACCAGGTCTCCCTTTAGCCCCTGCCCAGCCTCTACAATAAACACCATTTACATGTTTTAAATGCTCTTGCCGAGTAAGTACCCCTCCAGGACAAGTTCTCTAACCCCCTTTCAGGCTGTTCTCCAGTCCTTTCTACATATAAATTCTAAGGGCACCTCAGATACACCATTTGACCCAACAGTTCTAGGACTCCATGCTACAAAACCCTCTCACAAGTGCACAAAGACTTAGGAACAGCCATGGTCTCTGCAAAATAAAGTACATTCGTGCCACTGGCCATTCTCAGTTGGGGCCCCCGGGGGGCATTTGGCAGTGTGCGGAGACATCTTTGGTTGTCACGTGGGGGATTGGGGGTGCTACTGGCATCTGGTTGGTAGAGGCCAGGGACGCCGCTACACTCTACAATGCCCAGGACGGCCGCCTCACTGGAGAATTGTCCAGCCCCAAATGTCCAAAGTGTCAAGATGGAGACACTCTGCCATAGGTGATTGTCTGGCTTTAAAAGAATGAGGCTGACCTAGATGTTCCAAGATGTCCAAGACACTATATTAAGTGAAAAAAATAATAAAATATATGTAGTGTGATCTGATTTTTGTTATTGTTTGTTTGTTTACACATGCACAAATCTGGAGGAAAAGATGCCAAACTTAACAGAAGCTAGTTAACTCTGGTGGATGGAGTGTAACTTTCTACATTACAGTGTTTCTGGAATGTTTTAATTTTTCACTACAAAGGTGGATTAGGTTTGAATCAGAAAAAGCATGTGGATAAATGGATGGACAGACAGATGGACAGATGAACAGATAGATAGATAAAAATAATATGTAAAAATTGGTAAATGAACCAGCTGGTGCAGGAGCCAGCCCTTCTGCCTATAAAATTTCCATGGGCCGCTGCACAACAGAGACACGTACACCCTCGGAGCAACGTGACCAGGTGGGGTAGGGACTTCTGAGGAAAGAGCCATTGAAGCTCCAGGGTTGCAACCGGAGGACAGCTGTCTAAGGACAGGGTGACTTGCATGAACACTCCAGCCAGTTCCCCTTCCCTCCCCCATCCACGAGCAAGTCCCTCAGCTTCACCTTCCAGCCAAACATGTCCAGAAGCCCCCCTTCCACCATCTCCACTGCCACCACCTGCCCAAGCCACCTATCACCCAGATCCCTGGGACAGCTTCATACAGGTGCCTGGCTTCCACTCTTGCTCCCTCCAGCATATGTTCTATGCAGCAGCCAAAAATGCAGTACGGTTAAAATGCAGATCGGATCATGTCCCTCCTCTGCTCAAAACCCTCCCTGGCTCTCCATCTCCCTCAAAGGAAAGCCTCCAATGGCCTGGGGGATCTGGCCCTCATCATTCTATTATCACCTACTACTCTCTCCCTGGGTGACTCTACTCCAGCCTCACCCTCCTCAAACCACCCAGACATTCATCCCTACCTCAGGGCCTTTGCACTGGCTGTTCCCACCACCTCTTCCCACAGCTCCTTCATTCCCCAAGTCTCTGCTTCAATGGCATCTTGTCAGTGAGACCTTCTCTGACCCCTGAGCATTCTGGGGTGAGGATACATTTTTACTGACGCAAAATTCCCATAACAAAATTTACCACTTTAAAGTGACAAGTCAGTGGTATTTAGTACATTCACAATGTTCTGCCACCATCCCCTCTATCTAGTTCCAAAACATTTTTATCAGCCCAAAAGAAACCCCACTCTCCAGAGTCCCTGGTAACCACAAATATGCCTTCTGTCTGTGGATTTGCCTAGTCTGGACATTTCATATACATGGAATCATACATACAATGGGTGACCTTTTGTGTCTGGCTTTTTTTTTTACTGAGCTTCACATTTTCAAGGTTCATCTATGTTGTAGTTGGTATAATACTTCACTGCTTTCTCTTCCGACACAGCACTTGTAAAAACAATTGGCACAGACGGTATTTACTGCTCTCCTCTTTTTAGACCACAGAGCCTTGCTTCTCTGTTTTGCCCAAAACCTAGCAGGGAGCCTGGCACAGAGTAGATTCTCAATAATAATTTTTGGGAGAATACAGAAAAGCCATACATTGTTTCTAATTCTTATACAAACCCAACACCAGAGTTTTATTATTCCCATTTTACAGATGAGGAAAGTGAGGCTCAGAGGGATTTAGTAACTTGTCCAAGGCCACAGAGCTGACCCAATGCCTATGCCTCCTTTGTGCTCCCACCCTTTTCCCTGAGCAAGAAAGATCCTTTCAAAAGCAAGGCTGGGTCTCACTGCTCCATGGCCTCAGGAGCCCAACAGCTTCATGTTATTCAAGAATAATAAAAACTGAAGAGGAAACCTAGCTCCCAAGGGTTAAGTTTAAAATAAAGGCCTGCCAGTAAATATTATTATATGCTTAACATTTAAAAAATATATATTTAAGTCAGGCCCATAAATGGAAAATGGGCTACACCTATAATTAAGCAAACAACTATGTTCAGAATGTTTCCAAACAGAATAAGAATATTTTTAGCAAAAAAAAAAAATGCATAATAGATATTTTGGTTCTCTTCATTTGGTTCAGGGAGGGCAGTTCTGTAAACAGTCACAGACTCTACCAGCAGACACACCAATAAATATTTTACAAACATCATTTTTACATGGTTAGGGGCAAGTAGAACATGCAGACTGAAGGAAGAAGAGAAAGCTCTTTAACACATTTCCCATTTAAGGCCCACTTTTCTCCACCCACAGTGGAAGGGGGCAGTTTGGGGACAGGGAATATGCCCAGAAGTGGGCCTATCACCACCATGTTAAGCAAGTCACTTCTTTCCCTGGGCTTCATTTTCCCCAATTCTCAGTGAGAGGGTTGGATGAGATGATGTCTGGGGCGTTTTCAGTCCTTGATGTTATGTCTCCATATTAATTCAGTTTTGCTCTGTGCCAACTCCTAATTCAGACTCAGAAGATACAGCTGAGAATCCATGCATATCTAAGAACATCTTTCTACGTAACCCTTAGGATAGCCTCCTTCCCTCTAGAGGAGAACAAGTCTGCAGAAGCTGGGGTTTTAGTGGAGAATCACACCAGATCCTCAGTTCTCTCAGGTGGAGGTAGTGGGGCTCAGAGAGAGGTTCAGATGAGGATGAGGGATGGAGAAGAGGGTAGGGAAGAAAGTGACAACTTCCATCCAATTTGGTTATCACGTTATAAAACTTCTTCCATCTTTGCAACACCCATCTTCCAGGTAAGGAAACAGGCTCAGAGACATCACTGATCTAAGAGCCAAGTGATTTTCAACAAGAGTACCAAGACTGGGCTTCCCTGGTGGCGCAGTGGTTAAGAATCTGCCTGCCAATGCAGGGGACACGGGTTCAAGCCCTGGCCCAGGAAGATCCCACATGCCGTGAAGCAACTAAGCCCATGCGCCACAACAACTGAGCCTGCACTCTAGAGCCCGCGAGCCACAACTACTGAAGCCCGGGCACCTAGAGCCCATGCTCTGCAACAAGAGAAGCCATGACAATGAGAAGCCTGCGCACCGCAACAAAGAGTAGCCCCCACTCACCGCAACTAGAGAAAGCCCGCGCGCAGCAATGAAGACCCAATGCAGCCATAAATAAATAAACAAACAAACAAATAAATAAATAAAATTATATGGAGCAAGTTAACAATAGTTTTTAAAAAAAAGAAGTGGCCGGTCATGTAAAATGTACAGTGATATCAGATTATGTTATAATTATCCTCATTAAATACATGCTGCTTGTGGTTAAAGATAGATGATAGATAGATAGATAGATAAACAGATAGATAGATAATGAAGAATATTTTTAAGGCCAGAATTAAATTTAGGAATAGAATGGTTTTTGAATAACGTTATAAGCCAGAAACCTACTCTCTTGGTTAAAAAGGACCAGCAAGTGACCCAGGGATGTTTCAGCTAACGTAACACTGAACTGAGACTTTCTCCTAATTTCACAAAATTAGAAGGATTAAAAGAAAATTGAAAGAGAAATTACTTTCTCTTGGGGGGTTCAGGGTTACACAGAACTGTCTTCTTGTCCTTCCCCAAATCCTGTGCTCAGTGAAATAGTGCCTGGTCATCTTCACCGGAGGTTCTGTGTTGGGTCATTTCTTCACCGGACATTAATGACATCTACTAGGCATGAAGCACAGTGACACTGTCACTTCATCCTTACAATAGGCTGGCATGCTTTCTGCCCCCAGTTTACCAATGAGGAAACTGAGGCCCTGAGAGATCAGGGCTTGGCAACGTCACAGAACCTGAATCATGGACTAAGCTGTTGGCCAGAGGCCAGGGTTTGCAAACTCAGATGTCCCCTGGGGCAGGCAGTGCTAATGAGCGAAGCAAAGGGGATACATCAGACCCAGGTGTACTCTTCATTTTGACAAATAAATGGGCTCACCATTCCCATTTTTCTTGAAGCATTCAGCCTTTTGACCTACCTTCTGTTTTCCTGGGTCTGATAGAAATATTCCTTTTCCATAACAAAATCAACAGCACAGGAGAAATGAACTATAGTAATTGACAGTTGGCCTCAATGTCAGGCAGACAATAGGGCACGGTGGAGACTGGGGCAGATGGGGAGAGATGGGCCCTGCCTATACTTGTAAGTCCCTCTATGCTCCAGCCAGTGGTTGCTACCGGGTCTGATGCTGGGAACTCACCACACAGAATGTGCTGATTGACACACTGCCAGGAATAGCGCTCCATCTTGGGACTGCAGCCAGCAACCTCGGCACGTTTGTAGCAGCAGTCGTGAAAATGACAGCACCTGTGGGTGACAGACAGGCAGACCGGCGGGTGGGTGAAGGTAGGGATGCTCTCTTGGCCATCCTCCTGTGCCAGGACTTCAGGTGAGTGAGGACCCAGAGGGGGACAGCATCTTCTGGTCCAAGCCTTCTCCCTGAGAATCCCCATCTTGGGAAATAATTCCACCGACCTCAGTGCGTCCTGCACTGCCTCCATCCCCCTGCCACACTTGAGCCTGGACCCTGCCTGTCTCACTCTCTGAGTCTCCGAGCTCCAGCCACAGTGGCCTCTTCTCTGTTCCTGGAGCGAGCCACACCCTCCCCACCTCCTGACTTTGCCCACACTCTGCCCCCTGCCTGGGAGAACTTCATGCCCCCTCTTCCTGCTCTAGGTCTCAGCCGGAGTACCCGCCCCCACCCCCAGGATGCCATCCAGATCCCACATCTCCCCAGGCTCTGACAGTCTCCTGATCACACCCTCTCCTAAGCCCAGGTTCCTTCCCTCCGGGCAGGTTTTTGATAAGACCCTAATTAGGGAGAAGACTGATTAGCAGCTGTCCTCCCTGACCGAGACCTCTGTGAGGGCGGGGCCATTTCTGTCCTGCTCCCCACGGTGTCACCGGTGTCCAGCCTGCCACGTAAGAGCACCTCGAAAGCAATAGTAATGATAAAAATAACATACAAATTCCCTGAGAAACACCCACCAATGTCTGTAAACTTGTCCATCGTGCAATCATCCACTGCTCTTGCTTCCATCCAGCCAGCAGCCCCACCCTGCGCTGACCCCTCAGTAGGGTCTGGCAGGGAGACGTCAGCCAGATTCCACTCTGCCATCAAGGAGCTCCCAGTCTGGCGGGGAGAGGCAGACAAGCCACCAGGTGCCACATGTGTGGCGAGAAGTGCTGGGATGTGGGGTAAGGAGAGGAGCTTCTGGGAGCCAGAGAAGTGCCAGGCCCAGCTGGGCTGCAGGGAAGGCTTCCTAGAGGAGGTGAGGCCTGGGCTGCACCTGGAAAGATGTGCAGAAACTAGACAACCAGAGTGTGGGAGGGAGGGCAGGGCCCATGGCAGGAGCCTCCAAGGCACGAGGCTGGATAAAGACCTGTCAGTGACAGCTACATCCTCGGAGCTCGGAAGAGACAGTCACATTCCACGCCCCTGCCCCCCACCAGCACTAAGTGGAAATGGTGAATGGCTGTGTCTCTTTAAGTCTCAGGGACCTCATCTGTAAAACGAGGATCACCATCATACCTGCCTCCACGGATGGCCGTGGCCCTGAGGGCAAATGAAAGGAAGTCGTGGCAAGATCCAAGCCCGCAGCCTCACACAGAACAGGCCCTTCTCACACAGCAGCAGAGGGCAGTGATGGGGGCATGAATCTAGCCAGGCTGCCTGGGTTCAAATCCCAGTTCCCACCCCTCACTCTCTATGTGGCCCCAGGCAAGTTGATCTCTCTGTGCCTCACTTTCCTCATCTCTGAAATGGGGTTTTGTGAGGACTCAAAGGGGTTCTCAGAACAGTTCTGATGCATAATAAGTCTGATCAATGATGTGCAATTTTTTTCAGCTAACATAATCACTCCATGGCCAGACGGTTGCGGGGGGGCAGCTGGCACCACAGTTTGGCCTCATTGGCCATGTTGCCCAGGATGCCCTCTGCCTGCAAGTAGTACCGCGTGCTGGGATCTTCCTAGCCCAAACCCCAACCTCGTTTTTGGGTATTTCCTCATAGGTGATATTTCCTTACTGACCCCCAGGGGGTGGGATCTTCTGGCCCCATCATGCACTCACCAGTCAATGGCATCCCTGGGCTGGCCATGGCCACCCAGGCCACAATAGCAGCCGTAGTTCATGTAGGCCATGGCGGTGCGGGTGCCAGCACAGTGCACAGTCCCTGCCAGTTCTATGAGCCCACGTCGGTGCACATGTGACCTCTGGGAAGCTGGGGTGGGTAGGGGGAGACAAATGTTAGAGGCTGCAGGTGGGGGCTGCCCTGGCCCTGGGGAAGGGCAGCCGCCTGAAAAGGGCCTGGATGACTGTCTCAGTTTGAATCCTGCTTCTTATTCCTAGCTGTGTGACCTTGGACGGCTCAACCTCTCTGTGCCTTGGTTTCCTCATCTGTGAAACAGGGGAATAAGGGGATCTCACTCCCAGGAATGGAATGAGATCATGCATGTAAAGCACCCAGCACACAATGAGCTCTAACTATTGTTATCAATATCTTCAAGGCAGCCATGAAGAAGAAAACAGGTCACAGAGCTTCAGCATCTGAAAAAACTCACACCTCTGGGGCTTTGCACAGGCTGTTCCCTCTTCCTGGAATGCCCTGATCCCCAATCCTTTGCCCTTATCAACTCCAGACAGGGTCAGATTGCAAGTCGCGCATCAAACGTCTGTCCAGTTGCCTGTGCTGGGCACTAGACATCAGAAGTGAGCTGAACAGAGTCCCTGCCATCAAGGTGGGCTCCTTTGAGGGGGCTTCCCTCTCCCTGGGTCTCCACTGCCCCCACCACTGCCCTCCAGACTCTGGCTCAGGGCCCTTTGCATCTCTTATTTTCACTGCCCAGCACAGCTTCCTCCCACACGAGGAGGCCCTGGGGCCACATCCCAGCCATTTTTCTGGATCCCCCATGTGGCTGTGACACATAGCAGTACATAGTTGGTGCGACTGGAACCCCTGCATCTCACATGGAAGAAAAAGGAGGCCCAGGTGGGAAGGACAACCCTAAAGTCACACAGCCCACAAACCTGACCTGACTGGGGGCTTCTGACTCCCAATCCAGTGCCCCTTCCTCCTTGCCCAAGGAGGAAGGGAGCCCTGCCAGGGTGACAGAGCTTAGGGGCATCAAGGGGTCCACTGCTCGGGGTAAGGGGCCTCCAAACCTGCTGTGAGCTGGGCATCAGAGCATCCCAGAGCCACTCCTTCTTCTGGTGAGGGCCATGAGTCCACTCTGGCGCTTAGTCAAAATACACAATCAGAGCCACAGTAAGGAGATGCTATCACTGGGACCTCGCCCTGCACCGGGCACTGTGCTCCCCAATTTATAGGCGACATCTGTTGTCAACTTCCTTGTCTCGCGGGTGGCTATTCTCCCATTTACAGATGGAGAGACTGAGGCTACGAGAAGCAAAAGGACCCATCCCAGGCCTCAGAGCTGGTGAGCTGCTGAGAAGAAACTCGTGCCCAGGCCGGCCTGCTTCCTGGGAGCCTGCTCTCTGCCCACTGCTCCAGGACTGAGGATCCAGAGGAGATTTTTGCATTGCCTTTAATCATCATGTCTGTTTCGTGTCTTTTTATCTAGAACAAGAATTTATCATGCTGACTTTTTTGAAGAGTCCAAACCAAAATTCAATTCTTTTTTTTTTTTTTCTTTTTTTGGCTGTGCCGCGTGGCTTGCGGGATCTTAGTTCCCCGATCAGGGATAAAAGTGGTGCCCCCAGCGATGGAAGCTCGGCGTCCTAACCACTGGACCACCAGAGAATTCCCTCAATTTTGTTTTTTTCTCAGTGGGAAAAGCAGCATATTCGT